CAGCAGCCGCGGCGGCGGCGGCAGCAGCAGCAGCACTTCCTTCCTTTCCGTATCCCTTGCCTGCGCTGTTTAACTACACTATTCCTCCTCCTGCACCATCACAACAACATATCCACCATCTCAGCACCACGGTTCGCAACAATGGTCGGTCACAGGCAGACGATTCCTACTCATGTCATCACTACCCCAATAATTGCGGCAGCACAAACAGCAGCACCTGCGCTGATACCACCACCACCGCCACAATCAGCCGTAAGGACTCACGTATGAGACCGTACGATTGTCATAAACGCATTCGCTGTTGGCGCTAGCGGCCTTTCTCAAACTCATGCCTTCGCTAGTCCTCGCAACTTCACACACCGGAGCATAAGCGACTTAGAAAAACAAAGTCGCTATTGTGCCCAGCAGCCTGTGGCGGGAAAAGCTGACGAGTTTTGGAACTTGAGCCCCGCAGCAGAGGATGTAAACCCTACACCCTAAACCCTTAAATCCCAAACTCAGTGCTGGCTCCAAGCCCGTTGAAGCTCACATTCAGCGGGCATCTACACTATGACCCAACTTCATCAGTATCGTCTTTGCCTGGGCTCATGACCTCGCAGGCTGTAGTTGAGGACTTGGGGCAGTGTGATCCGCAAGTTTCAATCAAGCCTCATTGGTGTTCTGGTAACTTAGCAGGGCAATCAGCTACACCGCTCCTAGGACTGTGATGGACTGCGTCCGGTTCCCTGCCTTCCTCGGTGTGCAGCACGACCTCCGCCTCCTTGACAGATTTCCGTCGTGGCGACATCACCAAACACTCGTCTCAGACCACACGGCCTACATGCACTGCACTGCACATGGCGCAGAAATTTTGGCTGCCCAAGACAAGGAACCGTTCGCAACACGTTCATCTGCCGTCGATTCAACCCCTTGGCCACATGCCTCTTTCATGGTCACAATGTTGTAGGGCTGCATGTTCAAAGGATATCACGATGCTACTTCTTCCGGTATCACCCTTCTGAGGCCTGGGTGGCCGAAGAGGAGCAGGTGCAGCTCACGATCTGCAGCTAGTGGCTGGCCAAGAAGACGACATAGATGGGAGTTTCCGAAAATTAGG